TACTGCTGCTGTTGCTGTTGCTGTCGTTACGGATGATGAAGACTGTACATGCACGTGAGATGATGGCTGATGCGAAGGTGAACCTGCATATTCATATTAAGTCAATAATAAACAACAAACCAGTAAAATATTTCAATTTTCATTGCATTTGGAGCATTATTAAAATTGTCGAGAGAAAAGGAAAATGTGGATTGCCAAACTTATTAACGTAATCACGGAGGGCAGGGTGGATACTAAAACGGTCTAAACTCTTAGTCCTGTTCTTAAACACGCTATGCATGCTGATGACATGCCGACGACATCGTTATCTATTCTGCCAGGCATGCAGTCCCGGCAGATGGGAATGGATACAGCTATTTTAGGGGGTTTCGTTGCTATCATGGCCACAAATTTAAGTCCGCTTAGTCCAACCTCGCAGGCAAGCAAGCTATATTCCAATGAACCGTGCTTTCTTTTTTCTTTTTTCCTTTCCTTTTTTTTTTTTTCTATTTACCTCAGGGTAAACTGCTTTTCAGAATAGCAGAGGACTTAGAGTAAATTATGCCAGGAGCACAAGAAGAGCGCGTTGCTTGACACGCACATTTGAGGCTAAACTTGCACCCCTCTGCGATGTTGCTAGTGACGATGTTGCAGGTATACAAGAGACATATGAGAATCATATTTTATGCCACTGAGGCCGAACTCAATGGATGTAATGCGAGTACGGCGAGATTAATTGGCTTTAATGTCTTAAGAAAACGGACAATTTACTTGCTTATGGTGCCTCTTGCATTTTTAGCCGCCCCGAATTTGCGAAATTTCTGACCGCAAAATAATTTCCTTGGCATCAACTCTGAGTCTACGGTAACCTATCATCCCCCACCCGCTTACTTACTTGTCATAATTGCGTCGTCACTTTCTCCAACTTGACAGATATACTTTCTATGTTTTTCACAAACATCCGCTACCAAGGCGTCTTCAATAGTAACATACAAGCACCGTTTCAAATAACCCAGTTCGCCTTGCTCAGTCCTGTTCACGATTGCTTCAAAATTTGCATTCGAAACCACGCGAGTCTCATCGGCCCAAACAAAGTCGCTTAAGCCCTCATCGTACTTGACACCCACCCAGTAGTCAGTACTGTGATGTTCTTTGAAGGCCTCTCTGGCTTTTACAATTTCATCTAGACTTTTGATTTTGGCGAGGAAGGCTCCCTTATTTTTGCAGCTTTTCGCGGCATCTACCCAGCGATAAGATTCATAATGCGATTTGTAGGTAACTTCTTCACTTTCAGTTTGAGTCACTAAAAATGGCAGATAAATGAGTTGGCAAAGTTATTTTGAAATACCTACAGACGCTGGCTTAAAATGATAGGACTCTTGAACATTAAAAAAAAATTAAAATACCGCATAGGAACCAGTTGCTATTACCAGGAAACATTTATAGACTTACTCAATAACTATTTTTAATGGGCAAGTTCACCAATTGTCTATGTTCCACGATTGCAACATGCTGAGCATTTCATCGTTAGTGGAGTTTTTGTTTTTATGCGACTTTGATTTCATATGGACCGTTTTTTTTTTAAGTTAATTTGCTACAGATCTCTAAATATATTTGGAAAATCAAAACCTTAGACTCGGAAGTTATTTACACATACGAAAACTTGATTTATAAAAGAATGTAAACTTGAGTATAGATTATTAGTTTGCTTATCTTGTGTAGAAGAACGACGAACGATAAAGATAATCCCTGATATTGCCGATCTCTAAAATTAGGTATAGTTAGAAATAAGATGGAAAGCAAATATCATGTCATTTCACAGACAACACTCACCAAAATAACCTTCCACAGCCAGTAAGACGACAAGGCAAGAAGACTTGCAATCTTTCTTTGAAAGATCATTTTTATTGCCTTTTTCTTTTCCTTTTCAGAATATTCTAACAATTCACATTGTGCCAGAATGCAGGTGTTTAGAGTTAGACTGTGTTCACTATAAACAACTGTGATTATAAATCTCCCCTTGTTCTTAGATGCAGATCAGCGCTTCAGTATAAGAACACTATACAAACTTTAACGTTGC